AAGCCCAAAAGCAACTTTGTTGAAACATGTACGTTTTACGACGAATGGGCGAATTTTTGCGTCTAGGGGCCCTCTTGGGACGCATGTTGGAGGCTTCTTGGCCCTTGGGGGCGTCCTTGGAAAAATAAAAACAAGCCTCTTGAGGGGCCTCCTGGGGGCCTCCTGGCGGCCTCTTGGGGCGGAAGGCTCGAGCTTGCGGTTCGTGGTCCCCCTCTGGGCCCCCTCTTGGGCCCGTCTTGGGGCCCTCTTGGGCCATCTTGGCGCCTCTTGGGCCGTCTTGGGGCCCTCTTGGGCTGTCCTGGGGCCCTCTGGGAAACTTCTTGGGCGGTCTTGGGGCGGTCTTGGGCGCCTCTTGGGCCGTCCTGTAACGTCGGAAAGCCCAAAAGGCGACTTTGTTAAAAATGTACGTTTTACGAAGGGAATGGGCCGAATTCTTGCGTCTAGGGGCCCTCTTGGGACGCATGTTGGAGGCTTCTTGGAGCCTCTTGGGGGCCTCCTTGGACGTCTGGGGTCTCCTGGGGCCTCTTGAGGGGCCTCCTGGGGGCCTCCTGGCGGCCTCTTGGGGCGGAAGGCTCGAGCTTGCGGTTCGTGGTCCCCCTCTGGGCCCCCTCTTGGGCCCGTCTTGGGGCCCTCTTGGGCCATCTTGGGCCCACGTGGGGTTCCCTCGGGGCGCCCTCTTGGGCCTGTCTTGGGGCCCTCTTGGGCCATCTTGGGCGCCTCTTGGCCGCCTTGGGGCCCTCCTCTGGGCTGTCCTGGGGCCCTCTGGGAAGCTTCTTGGGCCGTCCTGGGGCGTCTTTTGGGGCGCCTCTTGGGCCGTCCTGTAACGTCGGAAAGCCCAAAAGACAACTTTGTTGAAAAATGTACGTTTTACGAAGGGAATGGGCCAATTTTTGCGTCTAGGGGCCCTCTTGGGACGCATGTTGGAGGCTTCTTGGGGCCTCTTGGGGGCCTCCTTGGACGTCTGGAGGCCATCTTCAGCATCTCGGAGCCCTCTTGGAGGCCTCTTGGAAGTTTCTTGGGCCGTCTTGGGCGCTTCTTGGGCCGTCTTGTCTGGCTGGGGAGGCCTCCGGCAAGCCCCGACGAGCCTCCGGGCCCCCCGGGGCGCACATTTGTGGTCGAGGTCCCGGCCCCGGGCCCCCGGACCCGGTGCGCCGTTATATGTATATCCTGCTGCTCCTCATCCTCATCCTCATCATCATGCTCATCATCAGCATCAGCATCATCCTCCTCATCCTCCTCCTCAACGACGCTCTTGCCGCATCCTCATCCTGCCCCTCAAGGGCAGCAACATTGAGTATTGCCAACTGGCTGCCCCACAAGGAACTCTTTTGAGAGAACAGCTACACAGGGCATCCTGGTCAAGGCCGCCACACATATAATCATAGTGTAGGATCGCCACACACGTATCTCTACTGTAAGACCTTGTGAGGAAACCGCACGTAAGAAAATGTGGGCATATGGCTGTTGTAAGGACGAGCGGGGGAACCGCAACAACCTGCAACGCTTGTGAGCTAAGCAGGCGGGCGACGGCCGAAGTAAAGGCAAGAGACCCTCCTTCACCTCCTCCTCCTCATCATCATCCTCCTCCTCCTCCTGCTCCTCCTCCTCCCTCCTCATCCCTCCTCCTCCTCCTCCGCCTCCTCCTCCTCCTCCTTCTCCTCCTCCTCCTCACCGACGCTCTCTCCGCCTCCTCCTCCTCCTCCTCCGCATCCTCCTCCTCCTCCTCCTCCTCCTCCTCATCCTCCTCGTCCTCCTCCTCGTCTTCCTCCTCCTCTTCCGCCTCCTCCTCCGCCCCCCCGTCCTCCTCCTCCTCCTCCCTCCTCCTCCCTCCTCCTCCTCCTCGTCTCCTCCCCTCTCCTCTCCTCCTGCTCCTTCTCCTCCTCACCCTTCCTCCTCCGTCGCATCCTCCTCCTTCTCCTCCTCCCCCGCAACTCCTCCTCCTCCTCCTCCTCCTCCTCCTCCTCCTCCTCCTCCTCCTCCTCCTCCTCCTCCTCCTCCTCCTCCGCATCCTCTCCTCCTCCGTCCCCCTCTCCTCCTCCTCCGCTCCCCCTCCTCCTCCTCCCCCTCCTCCTCCTCCGCCTCCAACTCCCTCTCCTCCTCCGCCTCCTCCGTCCTCCTCCCTCCTCCTCCTACCGCCTCCTCGCCTCCTCCTCCCCGCCGCCTCCTCCTCACATCATCCTATCACCGCGCTCTCATCCTCCTCCGCCTCCTCCTCCTCCTCCTCCCCTCCTCCTCCGCTCACTCCTCCTCCTCCTCCCCTCCCGCCTCCTCCTCCCCTCCTCCTCCTCTCCTTCCCCCTCCTCCTCCTCCTCCTCCTCCTCCTCCTCCTCCTCCTCCTCCTCCTCCTCCTCCTGCTCCTCCTCCGCCTCCTCCTCCTCGTCCTCGTCCTCATCCGTCGTGCCACCATCTCTTGGATCCCTGCCACACCCGCCAGCCACGCCGAGCCAGCCTCTCGGTCCATCACCAGCGGAAGGACGCCGCGCGCCCACAGCTCGCAAACCTTTGGGGTCCGCCGACGGGGGAAGGGCCCCGTCCGGAGCAGGAGGAGGAGAACGAGGAGGAGAGCGAGGAGGAGAGCGAGGAGAGCGAAGAGGAGAGTGAGGAGAGACCGTGGCTGGGGTGCAAGATCGTCGGCAGTGAACAAGCCTCTGTATGGGTTGCAGAGAGCACGGGGCGAGGGGCAGACTCCGAAGGGGCGAAATGTAAATCGTGAGCGTTGGTGAAAAACGCGAGAAAATATGGAATGCCAGTATGAGGAGAGCGAGGAGGAGGGGGAGGGGGGAAACCTAAAGGTACCCGTACTGCTACACCCTGGACCTCTCCCAGGGTGCGCTCTGACCAGGATTTCGGGGCGAAGCCAGTCGTGGCGACGAGGGCCTCCCAGGAGACCGAAAAGGCGAGAACGAGGCAAGGGTGGCGGTATCGACACCTGCTCCTCCTCTAGGGGAGATGGGGGGTAGCGAGGAAGAGCGAGGAGGTGTCATTCTCCTCTGATTCTCTGCGGGGGGCGGATCCCCACGCCGCGCCACGGTCGCCCTGCCCCGCTCAAGGCCACCCCAGCCGCCGAGAAGCCTCAGGACGTTGGCGCGATGGCGCCCCCCACCTCCTCCTGAGCCACTGAGGAAGGAAAACCAATTTAAAACGAAAAGCCTTAGCTTGGCGAAGAACCCAACCTTATGCAATGTGAGTATCGTCTTCCGTGAAGCTCCCTCTGGGGCCACGAAACGCTGTAGGGCGGGGGAACCGCATGCGAAATCCGCCACTGAAACATTCGGTGGAGCTCCCTCTGGGGCCACGAAACGCTGTACTGGGTGGGGGAGACGCATGTGAACTGCGCCAATGGGACCTTCGGTGGAGCTCCCTATGGGGCCACGAAGCGCTGTGCTGGGTAGGGGGAACCGCATGCGGACTGCGCCACTGGGACCTTCGATGCAGCTTCCCCTGAGGCCGCGACGCGCTGTACTGAGTGGGGGAATCTCATGCAGACTGCGCCACTGGTACCTGCGGTGGAGCTCCCCCTGGGGCCACGAAACGCCGTACTGGGCGGGGGAACCGCATGCGGACTGCGCCACTGGGACCTTCGGTGGAGCTCCCTCTGGGGCCACGAAGCGCTGCATTGGGTGGGGGAACCGCATGCGGACTGCGCGACGGGGACATTCGGTGGAGCTCCCTATGGGGCCACGAAGCGCATGTGACTGCGCCACTGGGACCTTCGGTGGAGCTCCCTCTGGGGCCACGAACGCTGCACTGGGCGGGGGAACGGCCTGCGGACTGCGCCACTGGGACCGTCGGTGGAACCCCCTCTGGGGGCACGACACGCTGTACTGGGTGGGGGAACCGCATGCGGACTGCGCCACTGGGACCTTCGGTGGAGCTCCCTATGGGACCACGAAGCGCTGTGCTGGGCGGGGGAACCGCCTGGAAACTGCGCCATTTGGGACCTTCGGTGGGGCTCCATATGGGGCCACGAAGCGCTGTTCTGGGTGGGGGAACCGCATGCGGACTGCGCTACTGGGACCCTCGGTGAAGCCCCCTCTGGGGCCACGAAACCCTGTACTGGGTGGAGGGCGGCATGCGGACTGCGCCACTGGCACATACAATGGAGCTCCCTATGGGGCCACGAAACGCTGTGCTCGATGGGGGAACCACATGCGGACTGCGCCACTGTGACCTTCGGTGAAGCTCCCTCTGGGGCCACGAAGCGCTGTACTGGGCGGGGGTAACGCATGCGGACTGCGCCACTGGGACCTTCGGTCGAGCACCCGATGGGACAACGAAACGTTGTACTGGGTGGGGGAACCGCATGCGGACTGCGCCACTGGGACCTCCGGTGGAGCTCCCTCTGGGGCCACGAAACGCTGTACTGGGCGGGGGAACCGCATGCGGACTGCACCACTGGGACCTTCGGTGGAGCTCCCTCTGGGGCCACGAAGCGCTGCACTGGGTGGGGGAACCGCATGCGGACTGCGCCACTGGGACCTTCGGTGAAGCTCCCTCTGGGGCCACGAAGCGCTGTACTGGGCGGGGGAAACGCATGCGGACTGCGCCACTGGGAACTTCGGCCGAGCTCCCTCTGGGGCCACGAGCGCTGCACTGGGTGGGGGAACGGCCTGCGGACTGCGCCACTGGGACCGTCGGTGGAGCTCCCTCTGGGGCCACGACACGCTGTACTGGGTGGGGGAACCGCATGCGGACTGCGCCACTGGGACCTTCGGTGGAGCTCCCTCTGGGACCACGAAGCGCTGTACTGGGTGGGGGAACCGCCTGGAAACTGCGCCATTGTGGACCTTCGGTGGGGCTCCATATGGGGCCACGAAGCTCTGTACTGGGTGGGGGAACCGCATGCGGACTGCGCTACTCGGACCCTCCGTGAAGCCCCCTATGGGGCCACGAGGCGCTGTACTGGGTGGGGGAACCGCATGCGGACTGCGCCACTGGCACATACAATGGAGCTCCCAACGGGGCCACGAAACGCTGTGCTCGATGGGGGAACCACATGCGGACTGCGCCACTGGGACCTTCGGTGAAGCTCCCTCTGGGGCCACGAAGCGCTGTACTGGGCGGGGGAAACGCATGCGGACTGCGCCACTGGGACCTTCGGCCGAGCTCCCTCTGGGACCACGAAACGTTGTACTGGGTGTGGGAACCGCATGCGGATTGCGCCACTGGGACCTTCGGTGGAGCTCCCTATGGGACCACGAAGCGCTGTTCTGGGCGGGGAACCGCATGCGGACTGCGCCACTGGGACCCTTGGTGAGGCTCCCTCTAGAACCACGAAGCGCCGTACTGGGTGGGGGGGGAACCGCATGCGGACTGCGCCACTGAGACCTTCGGTGGAACTTCCTCTGGGGCCACGAAGCGCTGTGCTGGGCGGGGGAACCGCATGCGGACTGCGCCACTAGGACCTTCGGTGGAGCTTCCCCTGGGACCACGACCCGCTGTACTGGGTGGGGGAACCGCATGCGGACTGCGCCACTGGGACCTCCGGTGGAGCTCCCTCTGGGGCCACGAAACGCTGTACTGGGTGGGGGAACCGCATGCGGACTGCGCCACTGGGACCTTCGGTGGAGCTCCCTCTGGGGCCACGACACGCTGTACTGAGTGGGGGAATCGCATGCGGACTGCGCCACTAGGGCCTTCGGTGGAGATCCCTTTGAGGCCACGACACTCTGTACTGGGCGTGGGAAACGCATGCGGACTGCGTTATTGGAACCTTCGGTGGAGCTCCCTCTAGGGCCACGAAACATGATGATTATGATGTTGAAGATGATTATGATGATGATGATGATGATGATGATGATGATGGTGATGATGATGATGGTGGTGGTGATGATGATGATGATGCTGATGATAATGATGATGATGGTGATGATGCTGATGACGCTTTGGATGATGATGATGATGATGATGATGACGATGGTGATGGTGGTGTTGATGATGGTGGTCATGATAATGATGATGTCGATCATGATGATGATGATGACGATGATGATGAGTATGATGATGATGCTGGTAGCGATGATGGCGATGATGATGATGATGATGATGATGATGATGATGATGATGATGCTGATGCTGATGCTGATGCTGATGCTGATGATGATGATGATGATGATGATGATGATGATGATGATGATGATGATGATGATGATGATGATGATGATGATGATGACGGGAGGAGGGAGGAGGGGGAGGGAGGAGTGGGAGGAGGAGGAGGAGGAGGAGGAGGAGGAGAAGGAGAAGGGGGAGAAGGAACGCGGGGCGCTGTCTCTTCAAAACGAAGACCCAACACCACAAGATGGTTGGGAAAAATGACGGAGAACCAAATTCTTTTCTATACACATATATATATATACTGGGGCCTTAGGTGTAGCTCCCAATGGGGCCACGAAACGTGCAAAGGATGTGCCAGAATGGACCAGAGTAACCGTGCGGACGCTAAGGCTGGGGCCTCCGGTGGAGCTCCGTATGGGGCCACGAAACCTGTGAGGGGTGTGACAGGATGGACCCGAGTAACCATGCGGACGCAGCCACTGGGGCCTTAGGTGCAGCTCCCAATGGGGCCACGAAACGTGCAGAGGATGTGCCAGAATGGACCAGAGTAACCGTGCGGACGCTAAGGCTGGGGCCTCCGGTGGAGCTCCGTATGGGGCCACGAAACCTGTGAGGGGTGTGACAGGATGGACCCGAGTAACCATGCGGACGCAGCCACTGGGGCCTTAGGTGCAGCTCCCAATGGGGCCACGAAACGTGCAGAGGATGTGCCAGAATGGACCAGAGTAACCGTGCGGACGCTAAGGCTGGGGCCTCCGGTGGAGCTCCGTATGGGGCCACGAAACCTGTGAGGGGTGTGACAGGATGGACCAGAGTAACCATGCAAACGCAGCCATTGGGGCCTTCTGTGGAGCTCCCTATGGAGGCACGAAACATGTGAGGGGTGTGACAGAATGGACCCGAGTACCCATGCGGACGCAGCATCTGGGGCCTTCTGTGGAGCTCCCTGCAAAGCCACGAAACGTGTGCGGGGTGTGCCGAAATGGACCCGAGTAACCATGCGGACGCAGCCACTGGGTCCCTCGGTGGAGCTACCCCTGGGGCCACGACATATATGCGGGGTGCTCCGACATGGACCCTGGTACCCATCTGGACGCAGCCACTGGGGCCTTCGGTGGAGCTCCCTTTGGGGCCACGAAACATGTCAGGGATGTGCCGAACTGAACCTGAGTTTCCATGCGGACGCAGCAACCGGGGCCTTCGGTGGAGCTCCCCATTGGGTCATGAAGCGTGTGGATGATGAGGATGAGGATGAGGATGAGGATGATGATGAGGATGAGGATGCTGATGATGATCATCATCATCATCATGATAATGATGGTGATGATGATGATGATGGTGATGATGATGATGATGGTGATGGTGATGCTGACGATGATGCTGATGCTGATGATGATGTTGACGACGACGATGATGATGATGATGGTGATGATGGTGGTGATGATG